GCCTGAGCTTGGCTGGGGGGCTGCAGGGGAGGCGCCAGGATGGGAGGGCTCAAGGCCAACATCCACGGAGACCTTGAGTTACGTCATTGAAACTGTCTGGACTTTAGGCCCCTTATGCCAAATGCGGTTTCCAGAAAAAGGATCCTCTGCATATTTGGAAGCCCGTCAACTAAAAGTCATCTTGTCACTTTTGCGCATGAGATTTTTTCATTTGTCAAGAGCATATTATTTTGCTTAATTATGGGCTTTGAGGAGATGGCATAGAGGAGAGGAAAAAGCATGAGCTTGGAGTCAGACAGACCTGGATCTGAATCATGGCTCTGCCATCCACCAGCTCTGCGGCACTACCCTGGTGGGCCTCAGCCACCTGGTGCCTGAACTGAGAATAATCTTGTAATAATGACCAATATTGTAGGGTACTTGTTAACACTGCATTGTTAACACATATCAAGAATCTTGTGTTGTTCTGCTTTTCAGATATTTAATAATCAATAGCTAGTTAATTAGTAAAGTGTCTGACTTTTAACACAATAACATTTGGCAAATGAGATTTCATATTCACTCCAGAAGTATATGTCTGGTGGTATTTTATATATATATATATATATATAAACAGGTTTTGCTTGTAGAGAACAATATTTATATTCAATTTCCATTGCCAGTGGACCTGCTGTTATTCAGTATCAAAATTCCTCCCAAGCTCATCCCTCCTAGGAAGCTTTCTTAGATGGAGCCTTAATGGTGCCCTACTGATGCTAATTCAGCACCTTGACATTTAGTTGTTTTTATATACTTGCAGCTTATTTTGTAATCATCTATGTCATGATTAATTATACTCTTCTTAAGGAAGGGGAGCATCCAGAGAGAGATAAGGTCAGAACACTATTTCCATCATTCAATCTCTCACTACTGGAGACTTCACTCTTCATTGCAGTGTGGGGATAATAATATCTGATCTATCTTACAAAAGCTTTCTTTTTTCCTGAAAAATAAAAACCAAACAACCAGGTAAGATCATAAGTGGAAAAAGATTTTATAAATTATAAAAGACATGTAAATGCAAGCTATTACATGATTTTTGCTATAGATTCTTTTGCAGCAAACAGGAGAGGTCTTTGTGCTGTGGCCACCTGTCTGATGCTGTGGGTGACTGGTGTTCAATGTCTGGGAGTCACCTTGAGGTTACTAAAAGCCTCCCTCCACCACCGGATGTTGGGGGATTGGGCAACATTCTTGAGTAACTGTCTTCTCTGACTCACGTACCTTGCAGGCCCCATGGTGACCTATGTGTTACCCAGGTGAAGCAAGGAATTTCCTCTCTGGAGTTGTTTAAGGAATAGCCCCAAACTTTCAGCTTAGTATTTTGTTTACGTGTCTCCCAATACTACCTACCCAGGTAGCCACAAGACAAATCTGTGCTGCTGCTGCATTCAGCTTTGCAGAAATGTGTTTGAGTACAGATTCTACGAGGGGCACAGAATCTCCACTTCTCTAATGAGATTCTGTTCATAGATAACCATCTCTCCTTAAAGACCCAGTTGGGATGGAAGAGCTTAGATTATGTCATAGTGTGAGTGCCAACAAAATTATGTCATAGTGTGAGTGCCAACAAGCAGTCAAGAGATACCTTTTGGATATACTTGGCTATCTTTATTTCCTTGCTTTCTCTGTTTCTGGTTTCTCCTTTCTTTTTCTTTAGTCCTTTCTCTTTCCTAACTTTCTCTTTCTATACTCTCTCCTAATAAATAGACCCACCATGGCATTCCCAAATGTAAGTCATTAGCTTCATTAAAAGTCCTGAGAATGCAACTGTTCTAGACATTTGATCCAAATCTAAGTCTCTCACCCCTTGCTGTGTTTTGTAATTATCTGGGGAGCTAAAAGATACTGATACCTGTAACCTGACTGAGTTAATATCTCTTGGAGGTGGGTCTTGGGCCTGATATCTTTTAAGAGCTTCCAGAATGATTCTAATGCTAATCTAGGTTACACTGGTTGAAGTTACTTGGAAAGTGAAGATATGACAAAACTATTCTAATAATAAAATAAGATTATTGGCTCAAAGTGCTGCAGTCATGTGGTTTGGCCACACTTGCTTATTTCCTACCCATCACATAACAAGTGTTTTTTGAGAACCACAGAAAGAAGAGCTGGTTATGCATAGGCAAAGCTTCTAGGTGAATTTCAAAGATAAGGTGAAGAGCCATGAAATGCTTCAAAGCTAGTATTGGTTGGAAGCATACTCTGAGCCATGTGCTACACCAAACACCTTTATATATTTTATATCATTTATCTTCTCAACAGATGAACATTATTATTCTTCCCAGTGGGCAGACAAAGAAACAGAGGCACTAAGTGATTGGTTAAGTATCTCAATATCAGACCACTTGTTAGAGGTGGAGCCGAGAGATTTGAACACAGGCAGTTTGACTGCAGTCTTCCTTTTAATCACCATATGGTACTTCCTCTCTATATTGACAGATAAGATGAAAATGAAAAATTTACTGAGTTTTCAGTTAGAATCACTGGGGACCTATGTAAAAAGTACTTTGCTCAGGTCACACCTTGGGCCAAGTTACTTCATGTATCTCAAGAATGGGACCCAGACATTAGTATTTTTTTAAGTGCTTTAAGGGACTCCAAAGTGCAGACAAGATTGAAAACTATTGGATCAGAGGAAAGAACAATACAGATGAGAATTGTCAGGGAAACTTCATAGGTAATATATTACTGAACTTGGCATGCAACAGAACAATGCCCTTCCTCTGCCAGATGTGTCCATATCCTAATCTCTGGTACCTCTGAATATGTTACCTGATGTGACAAAGGAAGGAAAGATGCAGATGGAATTAAGGTTGTTAATCAGCTGATGTTAAAATGGGGGATTAGTTGGGGTTACCAAGGAGGACCCAGTGTGATCACAGGGGGCCTTAATTATGGAAGAAGGAGGCAGAAGAGGAAGGAAAAATGTGGCAGCATGAGAAGGACTCGGCCCAGTGTGGCTGGCCTTGAAGACGGAGAGTGGACTCAAGGGGTGCAAGTGGCCTCTAGAGACTGGAAAAGGCAAGGAAACAGCTTCTGTGAACCCCGGAGCATCCAAAATGAGCACAGGCTTGCCAACCCCTTGATTCCAACTCAGTGTGACTCATTTTGGACTTCTGGTCTCGAGAACTGTTAAGAAAATGAATTCACATTACTTATGGTGGTTCACTCCGCAATAATAGGAAATTGACATAGTGCCTTAAAAAAAGGGAGGTTTAGAGAAATGTGTGGTGAGAGTGAGAAATGCCCACTTAACTGCAGATTAGATTTTCTGTGTATAATCACCTATATACTGACCACCTTACATCTCTGGCCTAAACACTGCCTCTTCAGTGAAGCCAGCAGCAGCCTGATGTTGAACCAGGATTCAAACCCCTGCCTCTGGACTCTAGAATCAAGGCTCATTCCAATGACCATACTTTGTACTCTTTGTGGAACTCTGGTGGCTTTTCTCATCTCACTTAAACAAAAGGCAAGGAAGGATGATGTCACACAGAACCATCTGCTTATCACTACCAAATACTTGACTGTTTAAAGATTGATCTGATAGTCATGTGCAAGAAGGATGGAAGTAAATAAAGCTGGGGCAGTCTGATCAGTCAGGAAACTGGACAACAAACAGGCTCCTGGGGATTCGAATTCCGATTGGCAGCAGTAATGGTGGCAGTGGAAGCGGAAAGGAGAGGAGGAATACAGGAAACCTGGGAAGAATATCAATCCAAGAGAAATTGTCCTATTGAGAAGGACCATGGAAGCGCAGAGTCAAGGACAACTTCAGGCTCTCAGGTGCAGCAGACTCAGAGGGTAGTGGTGTTGCCCGGGACAGATGTGAGGGTGCTAGACAAGGGAACTAGTTTCTGGCCTTTGTCCTGGGAGGGAGACTTTAGATCCTGGGACTCTCCCAAGTAATAAAGAGTGTCTTTCTCATTCAAACGAACTCACTAGGCCCCTAGATAATTTCAGCATGGGGGCTGATTGCAGAAGACCAACCCAACCGTGCTGATTAGTGTTGGGACTTTGAGCTATATTGACTTCTAGGGCATGGAAGAGGGCTGGAAACTGAGTTCAATCAGCCATGCTTATGAAACCCCAATAAAAGCTCTGGACAGTGGAATTTCTGGTTGGTAAACATATTATTGATGTACTAAGAGGGGGGTACATCTGATTCCACAGGGAAAGGGCATGGAAGCTCCATATCCAGGACCCTCCCCATCTGGCCCCAGGAGTATCTGTTGTAATGAATTATAATGCTAAGTATAGTGCTTTCCTGAGTTCTGAGAGTCATTCTAGCAAATTATCAAACTGAGGCCATTGTGGGGACCCATTTTTTGTAGTCAGTTTGTCAGAAGGGTGAATGGCCTGGGGAACCCTGAGAACCCACCAGTGGCTGGTGGCTGAAGCAAGGGCATCTTGTGTAGGACTTTGCCCATAACCTAAAAGGTCTGCACTAACTCTGGCTAGTGTCAGAAATGAATTTCTGTTCACCCACTTGGAGTGGAAAGAGAATAGGTGGACACTAGCATGACATAAACATCTGTGCACAAAATTCAGAATTGTGTGAAACCAGCTTCTCTTCAACACTAGGGCAAAAAGGAAATAGAAAACATTAAATGCAACTTTTAAATGCCCACTTCTTAATTCTTAATTAACTGTTCTTTGACTTCCCCAGTGTCTTTGAGCCAGTGTGATAGTATGAAATATCAGAGGCTTTAAAAATGGTGTTAAAATTCTGTCTCCGTTACTCACTTGCTGGTGGGCATGAAACTTGTTCTCTTTGGACCATAGCCCTTTATCTTTAAAATGAAAATGTTAAGGCCTATTTCACTAGCTGTTAAGAGAACAAACATAAAAAGGTAAGATCTTGGCACATGACAGATGCTCAATGACTGTTATTCTCAGCTGTCCTTTAAGATTATTTCCGAATGGAATGGGGCTTTCTGAGAGAGATTTTCTTTCAGAATCCGGATTCATCAAACGGAAGTCCAAGTGACTGATGTGGCTTCACCGAATGAACTGCCTGCCTTTGGGGAATGTGCTGACTCAACCTCTGCAATGTCAGTGGCTGTTAAAGTTTTGTCTTAAAGGGGGTTTCACCCTAATTGAAAAATTCACCATCTCTGCTGGAAACATGAAGGAAGAACGTATCTGTAACGCCCCCATCTGCTTGGTGCCACTTTGTTACAAACCCTCCTGGCTGCTAGTGCACAGTGCCCCATGCCCTGAATGGTAACACCATAGCCCCAGGCACGCCATGAGCTTCAGTGACTCTTCCAAGGAGGCCAGCAAATCTGGGGCTCAGAATGAAAGCCAAGCCTGTGGGTGCTTCCTGGTCCCCTCAACTGCTTTCTGACTTGCCTCTTGTCCATTTTGTGGTGAAGCGGTTACAACCTTGAACCAAATAACCAGCACAGTTTTCTAGAGGAATGCCTATTTATCATCTGCCAAAAAGATCACACAAAATGGTTGGGTGCCATCCCTTGTGTGAATTCATCTTGGTAAAGGAGTAAGTTTGTAAAACACTTGTTTATTGTGTCAAGTAATATGATAGAAACTTTAATGGTATGTTCAAATAAGCTTCTGAGGTTTTATTCTATCAGTTATGCAAATGGGGACCAAGCCCCAAGATCATAGCAGTTAGGAGAAAACATAGGATTTGAAATCAGGGATGTCTTACTTCAAAGCCCCTTTTCCTTCTCTGAAGGTTCATAAACACACATGCCTCTTCTTCTGAAAAAGATGGCTACTTATTTCTAGTTGGAATCTGCTCTTATTTTTCTTTTATTCCCAGGTCCAGTCATATTTTATGTTCTCTAAAAACTTGATTATGACATTCCCTATTCTTTAAATGTGGCTTAGTCAACAGAGTCTATTTTTAAATAATTATGAAAAGATACAGTGCCAGTCCAAATGCCAGTCTGCTGGCTTTAAGCTTTTTTTTAATACCCAGTTTCAACTTCATGACTTAAACAGAAATTTATTCTGGAGACTTTAGCAAAGCTTGCCTCTCTTGCCATCTCCTCTTAGTAAGCAAACCCTGGACACTTTCCTCGCCACAAGTGGTTGATGGCAGAGTACATCTTGTCGCCATCCAAAGCAGATCCTCTTGAGCGGCCTGTTCTCCTGGCTGGAGGGAAAAATATGATCATGACCCCACAAAAAGCAGATGGAGTTTTCCATACAAAACCATTACTCGTGGATTTCTGACTAGTGGCTTTCTGTTCTTCAGAATAGTGACTTTTTCTCCCTTGCCTCCTGCTGTCATCCTATCTCAGGAGTGATGTTTGGCATCTCAAGCTTAAATCCAAAGATGTAATAAGTTTATATCATCACTAGGATGTATAAGACTGGAGATAGCTATGACTAGGTCAGGCAAACATTGCATCCAGTGCAAGCAGTAGATAAAAATAGAGGTCCCAATAAAAGAATGACAGGGTCAGGGGAAGTCGGCTGCTAGGCTGTTAGGATTTAGTAAAATGATGATGATAGAAGTGAGTCAAGGAGAGTCAGCTGTCTGGATTGTTGGGATTTAATGAGATGATGTCTGTAACAGTCTGAAGTGTGAGGCTTTGCTTCTAGCAAATTCTCAATAAAGGGCATTTACTCTGAGTACCAGGGTCAGTGCAGAAACAATGGCCAATTAGTAGATGAATCAGTGACTTTCTAGCTTTTGGCTTTATGGAGCATTGTTTTGTAAGAATCTAAATGGACCCAAAGTCTGGAGCTAACAGGAAAGTGTTTAATAAATGAAGGTGATTATTTTTATTGCCACTCTTATTCCTACCATCAGCATTAGCATCAGGGGAGACAGTTAAGCTGTCAGGTGATAAGTGCAATGATAGATACATGCACAGTGTGATTAAATGCACCCAAAGAGGCAAAGCTAGTTATTTCCCATCTTCATTAAGAGAAGCACAAAATTAAACAAGTCCTAGTAGGACTGAGGAGCTCTGAGCTCTGTCACCAGCTGTGCAATTGAATTTCTTGCAGCCTCATTGGCTCCTCAAGGATTAGATACAATAACAGTTCCCAAAATTTCCCAGTATGAATTCTAGCATCCCATCCTAGCCCATGGAATCAAAATCATCCTGGTGGGTGCTAGGAATGTGCATTTTGAACAAACATCCCAAGTGATGCTTATGATTAGGCAAGTCTGATAAACACTGGATTAGAATAATCTATAAGGCACACCTACTCTAAAATTCCAATAAAGCAGGAGTTTCTGTTAAAGGAACCATTTTTGCCCAGTCTCAATTTCAGAGTGAGAGCTATTAAATCCTGGAATTGGATCCCACTGGCTGTGTGTGTGTGGCGGGGTAGGCAGGAGTCAGGGAAATCATTGTAATGATAAGATATTTAAATCCGAGGTCATCACTCTGCAGGAAGATTTAGGAATAGCTGGAGGGAGGGAGAAGAGATGAACAAATAACCTCATGACGTCTCTCAGAAGCCTATGATTCCAAGAGAATGGCACAGGTTTCATGCATGATCTGCCCTGTTTACCTTCTCTTGTCTGAGGTCAGTGAGTCATGAAAGACTAAAATTGTTATAGAAATGTCAATTTAGAAGATGTCTTTGTTTTAGTTAGAAGGATTTTTGTGGAAATATGACTTAAGATTTGGTGTCTCAAAAGGTGAGGTGGATTTCCCTGGAAATAGAATCAAGAAAACCCAAGGAAATGGGAGATTTATTTTGTATTAAATACTTGGAAAAAGACAGGAATCTCGATCCATTAGTCATACCCAGATGCCCAGTGGTGGTACTTCTCCTCTGCTGACTCTCCTGGAAAGATTAATGGTTCTTTAATGTGACCTTAACTTTCCGCTCTGGGCTCTCACCTCCAGTCTGAGTTGTCTGTTTACCTCATGACTGAACTGTTCTAATAGGCAACTCCTCTGGTTAATTGTCTCTAGCCTATTTCTCTCTAATCCATTGTATGCAGGCCTGCCAATAATATTCTTGAAATGCTCCTCTGCAAACATCAGTACCTTTTTAAAAACCTAAGTGGTTCCCCTTGTGTTTATATGCAGGTATTATAAAGTTAAAGATTCTCAGGTGGTTAGGACCTCACAGTCATCCCAGTTAGCTCCTCAAATCCAGACATTTTTGTCTGGCATTCAAGAACCTCTTATTTATTGCACATATTCATCAGGACTCTTGTTTATGAATGACAGAAACTGGCTAGGGTGAGAAGGAAAAGTCAAGGTTCACAAAACTAAATAATAGGAAGAAAAGACGAGGCTGGAACTAGAGCCTTGAGCATCATCAGGATCCTGAGGCCTAGGTCTCTCTGCTAGCTCTCTTTCCTGCTGGAGCCTGGAAGCCTTAGGCTCACACTTTTTCAGCTTTTCACTGGACAGAAGAAAGTCCTCTGTAAGTAATTCCAAGTACACAGATCCTAAGAAAGGTCTGTCACCGAATCCCTTGGGATAACTGTAGGGAAGAGTCAGGGTAGGCATAAAGAGAGGGTATTATTATCAGCCTCTATTGGGACTATGGTTGAGTTGAGGGTGGGGTGAGAAAGAGAAATTGCCTAAAAGGAGGTGCTTTCCAGACTAAAATGAAGAGTTCTAGATAGATAAGGCAATTAGTTTTATCTATTACAACCCACAGTGTGTCAGTAATAAACATCTATGAGCTTATTTTATAGTATTCTTTGAATTTGAATATAAGCTGTATGAATTTAGACAATGTTCCCTCACATGTTATATACAGTTCCACCTCTATGGCTTTTCCAATATAATTCCTTATGTCTGAAATATCTCACCTATTTCTCTCTGCCTAGATGTGTCCATAAGACCTGACTGAAGCTACTGCTTCCTGGCCTGCCCTGGGCTTCAGAGATGACATTTGATGACTGTGTCATGTTTATACAAGCCAACTGGCACAAACTATCTACTGTCTGGTATTAGCAATTGCTCTTTAATGTGTTTATCCTGTCTTCCCCATCTAGATTACAACCATCTTCAGAACAGATGGATTTAAACTCAATTATGGAGATAATTGCTGCTAGATATTATTGTTAAATCCTTGTCATCATTGCCTAGATTTGAGGAGAGAAATTTGGAAAAGAAACAAAAAAAGAAATTTGGAAGACAAAAAGAATTAGAATATAATTGCATTCAATATCAACAATCATAATTATACTAATGAACTGATAACAGCAACTGTTATGCACTTTGATCAAGGGAAGAGAAAAGTCCAAGTTTATCCCTTAGATTGAGTTTGGGCATCCATTTAGGAAACATCCCCAAAGGTGCTAAATATTTTTAGAAAAAAGCTTCTTCCAGGGCTATTTCAGCATTGGTAAAGAAGAGCATAATGTTCCCTGTTCTTAGAGCAATCCCTTTCTATCAGACTCACGTCTACACCTGAGCATAAATACCTTTGTGTTTGACAAGGATGGTTTCACAAATAGCAAACTAAAACAACCTAAGACTGTACCTCTGAGAGCATGGTGGCTTGCCACTCTAGTTCTTGGTTAGAACTGGGTATAAAGCGCATTGTATTAAGTTCTCTACTTTGGCACTCAAAAATGGTTTTTTCAATGAATTAACAAATTAGATTTTCAACATATAAACAGAATACTGAAGATAATTTATTGAGTAGAATGCCTAATAAAATAAAATAGAAAATCACGGCTCTATAAATAAAAACTTCATAGAATATTTCCATGACATGTCTAGAAAAGTAATTTCAAAATTGCTTCTTGGTCTGAATCCTTTAGTCTGTAATTCTAATTCATCAAAAATACTTCATAACTTCTGTAGGTTTCTGGATGGACAAGAGATGACAGTGGGTCTGGATCCATGAGGGCACTTATAACTCCCGTCCCCTCTTTCACATCACGTCTTCAAACAATAAGTTGAATTCTAGCTTCCTCCTGGGAAGAATACATGTTGGAGGATGTAAAGAACTGGCATTAGACATAATCTCAAACTTAAGACAACAAAAACAAATTAAATTCAAATTCATGATTTTTAAAAAACCCACTGGATGTACAATACCAAGAGTGAACCCTAAGTAAACTGTGGGCTTTGGGTTGTGATGATGGATTCCGTGTAGGTTCATCAGTTGTAATGAATGCCCCGCTCAGATTGGAGATGTTTATGACGAGGAGGCTACGCTTGTGTGGGGGAAGGGGGCTTACGGGAAATCTCTGCACATTCCTCTCAATTTTTCTGTGAACCTGAAACTGCTCTTTAAAAATAGTCTTAATTACAAAGAACAAGCAAACATTCATTGGAGACCTGAGGTCAAAGAATAAGCAGCTGGTCCAAAATCTAAGAGAAAGTGATTCCAGGGAGAGAGGCCATACAAATACCTGGGGTAGATGTAACCGGACATTTAGAAGACCTCAGCTAGGACAGCTGAAAAATTGATGAAGGCTGTGTGTGAGCTGATGGAACAGTGTGAAACTTTTGGGTTGCTGCAGAAATTGGGGGAGAAATTTGTTGGTACAAAACCTCAGGAGTTTCCTGGGTAAATCTGAAATTGGTGCCCACACATGGAGGGCGAGCAGAGACCAAAGAAGGAAGCAGACCCCTCCAGATTGGTAGGTGGTGGTGATAATAGCAAAGGGAACTTATTCAGAAAGCTTATCTTGGGCAGCTGCAGGATGAGTAGCTCTCTACACCTGCCCAGCTTAATCTTAAAAGTTTACACAGAGGCCCTAATGGGGTTTAGTCACATATTCACTCCACATGGTCGCAACAACACATGGCTGCCTCAAGGCTGCATCTTTGAACTGGCTCCCACTGTATGCAGAACGTAAGTTCCAAAGGACAGGGGAGGAGTTGCAGGGATGACATGTCTAGAAAAGTAATTTCAAAATTGCTTCTTGGTCTGAATCCTTTAGTCTGTAATTCTAATTCATCAAAAATACTTCATAACTTCTGTAGGTTTCTGGATGGACAAGAGATGACAGTGGGTCTGGATCCATGAGGGCACTTGTAACTCCCGTCCCCTCTTTCACATCACGTCTTCAAACAATAAGTTGAATTCTAGCTTCCTCCTGGGAAGAATACATGTTGGAGGATGTAAAGAACTGGCATTAGACATAATCTCAAACTTAAGACAACAAAAACAAATTAAATTCAAATTCATGATTTTTAAAAAACCCACTGGATGTACAATACCAAGAGTGAACCCTAAGTAAACTGTGGGCTTTGGGTTGTGATGATGGATTCCGTGTAGGTTCATCAGTTGTAATGAATGCCCCGCTCAGATTGGAGATGTTTATGACGAGGAGGCTACGCTTGTGTGGGGGAAGGGGGCTTACGGGAAATCTCTGCACATTCCTCTCAATTTTTCTGTGAACCTGAAACTGCTCTTTAAAAATAGTCTTAATTACAAAGAACAAGCAAACATTCATTGGAGACCTGAGGTCAAAGAATAAGCAGCTGGTCCAAAATCTAAGAGAAAGTGATTCCAGGGAGAGAGGCCATACAAATACCTGGGGTAGATGTAACCGGACATTTAGAAGACCTCAGCTAGGACAGCTGAAAAATTGATGAAGGCTGTGTGTGAGCTGATGGAACAGTGTGAAACTTTTGGGTTGCTGCAGAAATTGGGGGAGAAATTTGTTGGTACAAAACCTCAGGAGTTTCCTGGGTAAATCTGAAATTGGTGCCCACACATGGAGGGCGAGCAGAGACCAAAGAAGGAAGCAGACCCCTCCAGATTGGTAGGTGGTGGTGATAATAGCAAAGGGAACTTATTCAGAAAGCTTATCTTGGGCAGCTGCAGGATGAGTAGCTCTCTACACCTGCCCAGCTTAATCTTAAAAGTTTACACAGAGGCCCTAATGGGGTTTAGTCACATATTCACTCCACATGGTCGCAACAACACATGGCTGCCTCAAGGCTGCATCTTTGAACTGGCTCCCACTGTATGCAGAACGTAAGTTCCAAAGGACAGGGGAGGAGTTGCAGGGCCTCCAATTGCCCAGGTCCAGCTCTAAGGTCAGTTAAGTGTCACATTCTCTTAAAGACCTCCTCCATCACTTTTGCAGGCTCTTTCTCCATGAACCCCACTGAGCAGTCACAGAGTAGATCAGAAAACACCACATGGTCTTGGAGTGAGGGGTGGGGGGGTGGGGGAGGAAAGATACCTCACCCAGAAGAATAAATGCACTCATCTTGCAGGGAAAGGGCAAACTTCTCGCTTTATTCGTGAACATTCATGACAGCTGAGAAAAGGGAAGAGGAGTGGGGACAACATCTATTTTGGGGATAAGAGGCAAGATTAAGTGCTGAATCCACAACTGTCGCAGTGGGGAGGGACTGGAGAAATGAGAAGGCCACACACCCCAGGGACACAGCCATGCCCAAGAGTCTTAATCAGAGCAACACAGACCACACCTTCCACCCCAACCATGAAGCTAAGAAGCTTCAAATGGTAGGTAACAGCAAAATATTCTGGGCAAGACATGGGAGATGAACAAGAATGTGCACAGAGAGCCTCACTGAGGCATAGGTCAAGGCAAAGGCCTAAAACTCAGAATCAAACAGGCATTGCTCTGATACACATCTACATCTGTAAGAATTTGAAACCCGTGATACACTATTAAAAAAATAAACACAAAACTAGTCCAATTACTAACTGGACTAATGCAAAGCCTTCCATTACAATTCTAGCAGAAGGGAAGACATGTCCACATCCAGGTATAAAATTTGTTTACCTCAGTTTCTACTAACCTGTGTAATATGTTTAGCTTTAAACCAAAAATTATGAAGCATACAAAAAAGCAAGAAAAAAATAGCACACTTCCAAGTGACAGAGTAATCATCAGAAATAATTTTAATACTTACTGTAAAATAGCAATAAATAATACAGTATAGTATTGGTGAAAAGATAAATTTATAGATAAATAGAATGGAATAGAGTCTGGAAATATATCCACACAAATCAAATCAACTGATTTTTGACAAAGATGCAAAGGCAATTCAATGCAGAAATGGTAGTTTTTTCAGCATATTGAAGTAACTGTATCAGTGTATGTTTAAAAAAAAAAGACTTCAATACATATCTCACATCCTGTATAAAAATTAACTCCATTTTCATGGTTAATGTCAACAATAATTAGGGATGCTGATATCATCTGCCCCTGATATGAGAAGGGCCATCACCTACATGATATTCTTCCCCCAAATCTATAATATCAGTCTATTCAGGAGAAAACTTCACAGACTGAAACTGAGGCCTGTTTTACAAAACTGTTCACTAGATACACTTTAATACTATCTTTTCAATGATTATGTATATTTAAAATTATTTCAAAGTTAAAATTTTTTTTAAAGAAACTGACTTGAACCTATGTATTTTTCTCTCTCTTGGAGGAGAAGCTTGAGGTATACTGAATGCAAAGGAGCAGTGAGGGAAGACAATCAAATTAGCATTTCAATGACTATCCTTAATGCCAATAACTTTCAACCTTTTCTTAAACTTAGGGGATGTGTGTAGGTCATTTCATTTCCTGTAAATAAGAACTGGAGCTTCTGAACCAAGTGCAGGCTGTTAGTTACCTCCTGTCCTCTTGTGTGTACGTACCCTCAGCTCTAAGTGCCACATTCTTTTTCCACTCCAGGCATTGCAATGCTGGGACTCTGATTCTCCAGGTTTGAGCCTCTTGACCTCACCTTTGCTTTTTATTTCCCCAGGTTTATGAGTTGGTATGATATTTACCTGGATCTGCCCTTCTGTCAAACTGGCCATACCTGGCCTGCTTTCACCAATGTAGGGTTGATCTATGCCAATGCTGCATTCTTAAGTTACTGTAAGGTGACAGAATAGAGGCACACACACTTGAAAGGAGGGATATCATGGTTCAATGATACCTCTTTCTTGGGAATTGTAACTGGGAAACAAAGACCCTCACTGGCCCTCTCTTTACACCAGTCCCAATCGGAGAGGACAATCAGAATCTCTCTCCTGGGAATTTGAAATTTTGAACTGGAAGATACAGAAACGTAAGATGAGAACGAAGTATAGCAACTTCTGCCCCCCAAGGGACCCAGAGTTATCTTAATATTGCCATTTCTGAGGCTTGGATACAACCTGTATTAGTTTGCTATGCTGTTCGGACAAATTACCATAAACTGGGTGGCTTACAGATATAAATTCTTTCATAGTTCTGGAGGTGAGAAGTCCAAAATCACGATGTCAGCAGGGCAGAACTCCTTTCAGATTTCTAGAAGAGTGTCTTTGTCTTCCCTGCCTGCCTCGGTGTGTGGCTGCATCCCTCCCGCACTGCCTCTGTCTGCAAGCACCTCCTCTTCTGTGTCTCCCCTCTCCATGCCTCTTCTAAAAACACTGGCCACTGGATTTAGGGCCCAACTGGGTAATCCAGGGTGATTTCCTCATCTCAAGGTCCTTAACTACATCCACAAAGACTCTTTTTCTAATAAGGTAACATTCAAAGGTTCAGAGGATTTTATGTGCACCTTATAGGGGGTGGGCACCATTCAACACAATACACCACCATTCCAGTGAATTTTTTCTTAAACTAAAGAGACCTGTTTCTCTTTCTGGGAACCAAAAGAACTTTGATACTTTGGTGTCTCAGTGCTCATGGCAGCAGTTACAAGTGGTTTGCACCATCTGTATTAGCTTGATTTCAAAAGTTCTCCTGTTTTAGTGTAATAAGAATTACTTTGAACTTTTTAAGCAGGTTTTTGCTCTCCTCCCCAGAGTTCCTCAAATTGGAATCTGAATTTTTAACAATCCCCAGATGTTCCTGATGATAAAGAATAGGAAAAATCGTGAAATCTCAGACCAGTTAATGTCCCATTCAAAGAAAAGCAAGAGGAAAAGCAATGAAAAATAATTTGAAAATTTTAATGGTGTTTATGTAGTAAAAACATAAAATCTTTTAAATAAGGTACATTCAATTTCTCAGAGCATCTAATATTCAGATAATTTATATTTCATACACTTTCCAACATTAAACAATTGACTAAATAATGCATTTTCTATAAAGTGATATTACAGCTTATACAGGAAAAGGTATATTACAAAACTATTCCACACAGAAAGAATGACAGTACCTATTAAGAAATGCTACAAACTTTCCATTAAAAAATATATTTTATCTCTTTTATTTGTCATAATAATAAACAGAATATATATATTTTTCCTTTCTAAAATTAAGTCTGACACTACCTTTTCCCCTTAGGATGATAATATGTACAAATCATATCTGAATGAATATAAATAGCAAATACTGCAATAGTGTTACAGATACATTAGCAACTTTTACAGAAACAAATTATGGCTTTCTAATAAAAGCCTCTAGGACAGATGAAATCTCAAAGCTATTTAAATTAGACATTCCCATATTTAGTAAGGCACAATAGAGTCTATTTTTGTATTTCCAGTTGAATTTATGCAAGCATTAATAAGGGAAAATACAGTCAGTAGATACTGGACCAGATCTATCAGTTGGGTAAACTATTTGCAGTTTATTGAACTTTCGGGGGTGATATTCTTTCTCCACACCATAGTTTCTTTTTGTGCACTGTGGCCAAATCGGGTCCTTGGTGATGAGAAAGAAATCATTGTAACCCCAACGCAAGTGACTGAGAAACAGTTTACTCATGCACTGCATCTGGTCCGTCGAGAGGAAACAGCCCAGTGACCATTTCCGGTTATAAGCAGCTTATTTTTACTGACTGAACCTGATTTCCTATCATTTCTAAAAACAGCTTCTGATACAGTCTGTACATAGTAAAGCTGTGAAGGAACCTGATGGTTTTCTTCAGGCTCTGAGTGACAGTTTTGGGAAAGTGGTAGGTCTTCAAGTGCTTTAGTGCATGCATTAGGCCCTTCAGCGTGTCTTGGTCACCATTTTTTATTCTCCACAGGCTGAGCAGCTTCAGGATCTGCTCACTCGGTTTGCATGCCTTCGTTGTTTTCTCAATGTCTTCGCTTGAGACTTTCTTTCCTGGCAAGCTTTCCATCAAGCTGCGAAGCTGCTCGAAGGTGAGGTTTATGTGTCCCATGTGCCGCTGCACGCTGTTTTCACACAGGTCGATATCTACATAAAGCAAAAACCCAAACAGATATTCACATAATGTATATTCTAGTATCACCCCAAAACTACCATAGGCAGAAGAGGTTCTCTCAGAATTTCATGACTTTGTTTTAAGGATAAACTTCTTTCCTTTTGTGGGGGTTGGGGGCAGAGGCTATGTGACACTAGTTACTGTCAAGGACTGAGCTTAATATTGTTCTGAATTTTAATAGGAAAAAAAATGCTTTATACATTCTAGGCATTCAACAAAGCTTTGTGAAAAGCCCTTATTTTGAATTAACGGTAGAAAATGCAGATATATCACTCTGTTTTCTAAGAAAAAATGGAGAAATTAAAACCATAACATTTCAGAAAAACAGAAATAAACTATTCAAGTTAGTATTTTGTAATATAAACTTTCATTATTGATACCCAATATGTGTGCTATTTTAAGAGTTAGGTGCTTCAGTTTTTAATAAATAGCCTCACATTACCACCATGGAGGAACTCTGAAAACCCAATAATGTGGGGTCAAAGAACAATAGGAGATACGCAGCCTAGAGAATATTTCAATAATGAGCTAGGACATAAGCGTAAGTGGGAGTAACTAACATTTCTAATGGCAGGAGTCATTTACTATCTGTGAGCCCTAAGGCAAGTCAGTGCATCTTTCTGGACTGAAATGTCCTCATTTATAAAATAGGGAGTTTGATCCTTTCCAGTTCTAACAGTCTCTAATTCTCTACTTCCCTTTCATTTTGCCTCAGGGCTAATTATACTTTCAAAGAATATGTTTTGTTTGCCAAAAACAGAAGAAAAGTTCACTCTTTGCACAAGTAAAGGCATTCAGCTGTCAAAGACGTTAGTCTCCTAAAATCTGTTGCTTCTGTTTCAGATGTTCCAGGCTTTCAGGTGATATATGGCTCCTTAGTCATTTAGCTGTAAGTGAGGAGCAGAATGGATTTCTCATTGACATTATTTGCACTAACACCTCCCTCATTTTTTCTGGCATGTTCTCCAATGCTAATTGAAACCAGAACTCTTTCCACTGTACATCCTAAAGCTTACAGTCCACAATGGGTGCAACTTACTTTTCCCCTTTTTATTCTCTCCCATCATAACACACACACACACAGTTTTTAAAGGGAGATACCTTATAAAACTCTAAAACATGAGAGTACTTGGCTTTAACTAGCTCTTTCTCCAAGAAACTCAAACACTTTACAGAACTTATCTCTTTAATTCTCACGTGTGTTATTAAAATGGTAATTTTAAAACAGGCTATGTTATGAGGATTAATGTGAAGATATTTGTTAAGACACTTAGAGGTTCCCTGCAGAGAATTACCAAATAACTACAACACACTTTCTTAGTGGAAATGCAAAGTAAGATCCAATGTGGTTAAACAACAAGGCAGGTTAGAGTTGGAACACTAATAAAACTGTAGGGGATCTAGAAGCAGGTTTCTTGAGGTCTAGTCGTGCATTTGAAATGCACTGTCCCTTCTTTTAGAGCATTCAGAGCACTTTGAAAAGAATTGGGATATAGAACAGGTGAGAATAAAACCTTGCATGGCTGCTCTAGGTATAGCTTCCACAGTATCACTTGGTGAAAACTTTTTCAGCCCAATAATAATTCCACAGGGAAAATATCCATTCACACAAGAGGTACACAGTCTTATTCCTGATTTATGATAAATGGGTGTCTCTGATTTCTGATCCACTTGTTCATTTCAGGTTACCATACCTTGGAAGATCTTCTTGACCATATCTTGCTCTTTGTTTTGATGTTTCCATAACTTTAGCAGCTGGAAAGTTTGTTCTTGTGAGCTGTGTCGCCGTTTTATCCTCTCCACATTCTCTGCATTTATTTTGGTGCCAGGCAAATTGTCTACCAAGACACTAAGCCAATTAGGAGTCAACTTCGTAGGAACAGCAAACCTGAAGAATGCTTCCTCACACAGGGTGACATCTAAAGGAAGGTCAGAAAACCAAGAAGATTTGGTCAAGCCTTGGACTCTTGAAAGTCTAATGGACAAAAACAAAAAAAAACCTCACACAATTGAGTTTTCTAAGGTATATAATATGCTAAAACCTGAAGTTTGAATAAAAACCTGTCAGCTGGTCTGAGTGGCAGATTGTGAACCCAACAGGGCTTATGTCCTCTCTAACATTCTTCTAGGGCATTTGAAGGGGAAGAGGTTAAAAAAATGATTAATAAATATAATACTACTCCAAATAAATCACAGCAAAAATTCTATGATTTAACATATACATAAATATATTTTAATGTAAATATTAAACATTCTGTTAAAGGTTTAGGTAATATTCACAGGGTACTTCAAGATCAAAGTCAAAACAAACCTAAACCCTGCCTTTTAAAGAGCTTGAAAAGTAATCTGGAATAGGATCTTATTTTAGGTACACACAAACACATAGTTTACCTTTGAAAACAAGGATGGAGACAGATGAATAATTAAGTGGGAAAATAAACAGAAAACATATCCCTTGGAAAATAGATGCAAATCTGGTGAGGATCCATATATCTCAGGATTAAGAGTTTGTCTTTGGGTTTATCATGCCTGTGTTTGAATCCTGGCTCTGTCATTAACCACATATTTAAACTTGAGCAAACTTCACAGTGGTTTTGTAAAGGTTAAAGACTAGGGTAAGTGCTCAATGAATGATAAAAAGAAAATTTAGAATTAAATACAGAGAATGTTAAAACTAGAAGTTGCTCTCTTACTAGCCTTTCCCTCATTCCATTGTTTGAGTAAGACAGCAGAAAGGAGAAATGACTTGCTTAAGATTTTGATTACACAGTGAAAAAATGTTAGAACTGGGTTTGAATCTTAGATCTCCCAACACACCTTCTAATGTTTCATATATTTCTATGTCATACAAAAGATGGACAGTGACTGTGAAGGGGTATGTGGGGGGGACTTGGTGAAGGGGGGAGCCTAGTAAATATAATGTCTTTCATGTAATTGTAGATTAATGATGCCAAAAAAAAAAGATGTTTGGGGAGAGTCAAGCTAATTAAATGTTAAAAGGCATATCATCCTTAGTGTGATGAACCCTTGGTAGAAGGTCTGAGATGAGTCCAGTAGTAGGAATGACAAAGGAGGACACCAGTCTTGTAAGTGTCATGACTATAGGGGATGCATTCAGATAACTTGAGCTTGGAGCTAGTGACGCTTCCTGAATAATGCATTTAAGATAACCAGAGGAACTTAGAATTCCATGTATTAAATGAAGTAATACCATAGGTGATAAAGCCGGTTCTACATTTCTAATTTGTCATCAGATTATGTCATGGTGCTTCTCAGTCACCAATTCATACTTTGGCTAGTAATATAGATATTCTTAGAAGTAATGAAAATGTATGACTTAAAAAAATTCTATAACTTGGACTCTGATAGTTTGGCCTTTGACATAAGCTTTATGCCATCCTTATCCCCATGTGAAAATTTGATTCAAGTGGGAACAAGACCAAGTCAGGGCTTAGAGTGTGATTGCAGGAAGATGAGATTTTTTGAAAGTCTGTGAGTTGTGGCTTTAGCATCTGCACAGAACAGTCCTACTTGGTTAACATTCAAGAATGGGGAAATATGAGTTTCACTAAGAAGGTGGCCAGAGGGCCTTGTATTCAACTCAGAAGGGGTACAGACTGATTTTATGAAATACAGTTACCTATTCCACATTTCTGCGTCAATTCACTGTTTCCAGAACATATATTGTCATGTGTTGCATTTCCTTTCTGAGTCAGAAGGAGACCAAATGTACTGCAATTTGTGTGTTTTCGACAGGTTGCTTTAGATGACGTCTCATTCGAGAAGAACCCATCTGGACATCTTTTGCAAACTGTATTTCGCTCCGGGGTTCCTACAGAAAATACCAAGCAATTTAGCACCTTCTTCTCAAATCCTTGCATAGCAGATACCCTCTTCACACAGTTTTGGAGAGACTTTTCACTTGGTTTTGACTGCTACTATTATGTTGCACAAAACTTCAGGTGTTTTCATTTTCATTTCATTAGAGACAACAAAATGTCTACAGTTGGTCTCTTAGTCAGTCTCCCCTCCTTGTAGTACAAACACCAATTTGTTCTGCTGTTACCTACGAAACACTCATGAAATGTGACAGGAGAGGAGAGTAGGGTGTTCATTAGTCTGCCTGTGCTTAAGTGTCAGTGAGGTCTTGTTGTCAGCCATACTCTTCACACAGTTATTCCTGGAAAATCATGAAAATAACTGCTCTGTAACTGCTGTAGTATCATTCTTCGAAATCACTACCCATTGAACACTGCATCGTTAAATTCCAATTGGTTTCTACTGAAGTTCTTTCTTTTCTGAATCCTAATTGCACAGCGACTCGTAAGTATGCTAACCTTGCGAAGTAAAAATTTACAACATTATAATAAACTTTTGAAGGTAGCAATAAAGTTGGCCACTGACGCAAAAGTGTAAGCCTGCAGTTAAGTTAAATAGTAAATGGAAGATGATATACCATTTGCTTAAACTGTTGAGTTTTTAAAGAGCATAGTCATTAAAATTTCAGGAAATGTGACTGCAAGGGCATTTTATTTCATGGTGGAAAGATACTTGATAAGGTTGGAGAAATCATCAGTAGGAAAACTTGAACCAGTCAACAACTAAAGACACTATTAAAAATAAATACCTTCAAACCCTTGACTCTATCATGCATGAAAAGATGTACATTGTATTTGCATATGAAAATACCTCCACCTAGTGTAAGCGAGCTGAACAGATTTGGACTTCAATATTCAAATGTAAAAACAGGCCAGTTCTGGTTTGTGCAAGATGTCAGACAAAAAGGACAAATGAAAGCTGCAGAAAGTTAATAAACTTCATTTATTCAAAATGTGAAACTCCCACCTCATTGTATCAGAATGAGAAAAAAAGAAAAAAGAGCAAAATGGTTTGGTTCTAATTTTATCTTCTGCTTCTTTTCAAGGAATTGATGGTGCACTGACCAGCAAAAATGACAAAGGGCTGGCAGAAAAAAAGAGGAGGGGGAACCACAGGCCTGAGACTTTCAGGTCTTAAATGCCATTTCCAGCATTGCAGTGACATTCTCCTAAGAACCACCCTACAAAGAGGCCCTTTTCTTTTTGTACTTTCTTATTACACCTCTCTCCTTAGAAGGAATCCAACTCCACATCAAATTCTATACTCTCATAAGCAAATACATTTGGGTGAGGATTCCACAGCATTCTTCCAACGCTAACATTCTGGGAGTAAGTGGATGTGGCCATCTGGGTCCAAGTCTCCCTTTGCCAACTGCCACATGTTCCGGAAAGCCAGTGCACAAAGAAATATCATGTCATTCTTCAGAGATGCACGGTCAGCTGGAGTCTTCTCATGCATTCCAATGAGAAATCAAAGGTACAAGGCATTCCCTTCAGGTAATTTAGACTTAAAAGTTCTTTAACAAAAGAATCTACTAATGATAAGAGTATAAATGTCTAAGTATATTTGGAGGCTTTATGTAATGACCTTTCTGAACAGGACTTGACTCTTTGATAATTCATAGAACTTTTTATAAAAAAAGATTTATCCATCTAGGAAATGAATTTTGCCTTATTAATATCAGTGGAAACATCACAGATGTAATCGGGCTGGCAAAATGTGAAAAACCAAGTGACGAGAAGACCTCTGCTTTTCAGCTGAGAATGTCGCTGTGCCAGCCACACTAAAGACACAGGGCTTATGGAATGAAGTACAGTAAAATATGGAGAGGAGACAGCCTAACTCCAAAACAACAACGAAAGGAAAGGTTGTTAAATACTTTTTAGAATAATGCTACATAGACCTTCCTTCTCTTTGGGTTGGAAACCTCTTATTTGCCATCAGGAGCTGCTGTGTGGGTTTTTAGGGAGGAAGAGGTAAATACGCCCCACTGCGGTGCCACAAATAAAAGGATGGGCATCTTTGCCTTAAGTTTCCTGGCTCAGGGCTTACTGTATTCTACAAACAGATTTTCGTCTTCTGTGAGTAAATTCCTTGCTATTCCCATTATTTTTCAAAATTTTCTTGGTTCCAAGCTGCACAGTCTCTGCTTAATTAATCCTTCTGCATATACAACTTGCTGAATTGGATTAAATTAATTTGTTTTTGTTGGATTCCCCCACAACCTACCACCTACAATTTGGCTTAGCTTTTGAGTCCCAAAATACCATCCAAAAAAAGCTAAGCAGTGTCACCAGTTCCTCCTTCAGACACTCATACTAGAGACATTGTAAGGGACACTTACGCAGTTTGCACCTTCTGCGATTACTCTGACAAGATTCACAACTTAGGAGACTTAATAGATTTAAATTTCTGAATCTGTTCCTTCTGTATGCCTTTGCACCTAAAGTGCTTATCTTCTAATAATCTAGACCCTTTATATCATAACTTCTGAAAGTTAAAATAATTACAAATAATTTAGCATCCTATAAACCAGTGGTTTTCAACCAGGGGCGATTTTGCCCCCCAGAGGGTACCTGGCAATGTTTGGAGACATTTTAGGCTGTCACGACTGGGGGAGGAATGCTACTGGCGTCTAGTGGCTGGGAGCCAGGCATGCAGCTGCCTCTGAAGGAATTATCCATCACAGCTTGACATTAGTGCTCAGGTTGAGAAACGCTGCTAAAAACTGAGTCATCAGCATCTATCCTGATTACTCCATCCTCCAGTGACTTTAGTGAATACTCAATTTTCCCAACCCATGGGAGGATACAGAGTGCACTAAAGCCGGGTGAATGTGGTAGGAAAATAATGTGAGTTACAGCTTTAAAAGATTCAGTGTGCCCTGGCCTTAACCTATGCCATTCAAAATGCAAAAAGCAAAAGGGCTTTGTTTGTTGACAAGTACCTACTCTTGGCTTGACAATCTGTTTTGTCTAAAATACAGGAAAAGCTCATTGAAGAGATGCTGCTGCAGTCTTTACCCTCCCAGACACTCAACTCCCCTGCCGAAGGAAGGCCCCACTTCGTTTTTCATAATGAAATGCATTTCCCCTCACCATTCTCACTTTTTACATAATTAATTATAACCGCTCATTGTTAGTACTCCAGAGCCTCATTAATATCAGCGTAATTACTCTCTTGGTATCAATTAACAATTCTGATATTTGTCGGAAAGCACTTCAGTTTGAAGCTGCCCATGCCGAAGTGAAACACAGGGGTAAATATCAACTATAAACAGGGTAATTCAGAGTGTGTCCCCTTAAAAAAAAAGGGCAATTAATCATGTATCTTATTAGAGAACAATTTGCTGCCTTTGAGATTTGTCACGAAACTGCCCCGAAGTGGCAAAGTATCCCTCGGAGAAACGGTCCTTTGGCAGCAATGCAGACACATGGTGCGTCTCTAGCAGACAATTTGCTATCCCTTACTGTTATGGGTGTTCCCTTCAACTTTCCCTGCTGCCTGACTGACCGATCCTGATTAATTCTGAGCACACTGGAAGCTGATACGTACCAGCATGGAGCACTCCAAATCCAAGGGGACAGGTCTGGTGCTTCAGGCAGAACTCGAGCTCCAGGTAGCGCCCTTCCTCGCATTGGCACACGCGGTTGTGGGTGCGATTGCACTCCTGCCGGACAAACTGCAGCTCTTTGCACACCGGGCTGCAGTACAGACATTCATCACTGGAGTGCCACCTGTCTGCGTAGTAGTGGTCAGGACAGGGGACACACACGGTCTTCCGCCTGGCTGTGCAGTGCTGTTTCAAGGAGGTGCCAGGGGGACATTTATCGCACATCAGCTGACGAGAAGTTTCTGGGTCATAATGAAGGTACCTGGGAGGAAAGACTTCCTGGGAGGTCCATTTAATGGAGATGTCCAGGAACTAGAAGAAGGAAGGGAAACAGTGGCCTGTCAGCATGGAAACAGGGTGGTTCTTCTGAGCAAAAGCATCATTAAAAGTCCTTTACTACCTGAAGCCTCATGACTTTCCTGCTTACTAAGCTGCCCCACAGAAAGTAAGCTCAAAAGCCACAATTCTTGCCCCTAGTAGCTTAATCTCAACCAAGATGGTTCTGGCGGCACATGTATTACATAAGTCCAGGCTCATAAATGACAGAGTGGAAAGCTCATCAGAATAGAAATTATTACCCAGATGAACTGCTAAATGACCTATTGGCCTAAAAGACGCTTCATCTCCCTGGGCTTCAGGATTATCTTTACATTAGAGAGTCAGTGAATGATTTGTGGTGCTCAGAACAGCTACATCAGAATCACATAGACTCTTCGGTGAAAATGTAGATTTCTGGGGTTCACACCCCTAAACATTCTGATTCTACAGGTACAGAGTTAGGGTTGGGATTTAAAAAAAACCCACAGTGATTCTGATGTGTGGAGTCCATCTCAATAATCATTGTTTGGTTGTTTCGCCTGGCAAATAGTTGTTGAGCCCTTAATATGTGCCAGCCTCTGTTTTGAGTAACTGGAATATAGCAGTGAATAATCAAGAAACCCAGATCTTATGGAGTTTGCAATCCCATTGGGGCAATAAGAAAATCAATAACAAATTACAGATAAATTAAATGTTAGAAGGTAAGTGTAAAAAATGAGCAAATAAGAGATTGGAAATACGGAGGGCAAGTTGGGGAGATTACAGTATTTAAGTAAGGAGGTCAATGTAGCCATATTTAGAACTAGAGGATAATCTCTTTTAGTTTTCCCCTTCTAAGACTTGATTCCAAACACACAGTGAAGTAAAGAATTAGTGATGTGTGAATGTTGCAAGATTACATCAGCAGTCATCCTGGTCATTCAGTCATTCATTCATGCAGCAGGTATGTATTGAATGCCTACCTGGAATATACCAGGAATAGGCTGTGAGTAAAATCAGTCCCTGCCCCTATGGGCAGTGATCCACCAGAAAGATTCTTAGAATATGAAACCTGGTATTTCTCCCAGAATATCATGTGGCCCAGTCTTGATTCTCCTATGTAAATGATGTCTAGAAAATTAAAGGACCACCTCTCCAGTTAACTGGGAAAAACTTCAGGAAGCAGGGAGGGTTTTAATAGTTTCCATATGTAATGGCAGAAAGAGGATTCTGTGGGCAAGGGTGCTCCTTGGGAAGCAGCTCCAAATGGGTATTCTATCTTGAATTCCATGTCATAAAAGGTCTTCAAGGGAGCACTGGAGTAGTTATCCACACTAATTCCAGGAAGTATATGCTCAAAAGAAACACTGTTGCTTGTATGTAGGGGATGGTTTGTTGGGTTTTAATTGTTTGTTTTTGCTACAGGGATCAACACTGAGTATTTTCAGGCTTTGGGGAGGTGGCCGACCAAACACAACAACTTTTTCCCAACTCTTCTTTGCGGAACTCAGGAAATCTCAGAGAAACCCACTGGCCTGGGAAAAGCATGCAGAGCGAGGGAGTCAGCCCTCTTTTGAATTAGGAGTGACAAAGGTAAAAATGACCTTTATTCAAAAGCACTTGGGCATTTTAATCCAAGTAATTTCATTCACTTCATACTGGAAAATGACAAGTGTCAGGGCTGACTAGATCTTATATGAGCTGGTAAACCAGAGCCAAGTATCTAACCTGATGTGATGGAACTTTTAACCAAGGGCACCTTTCAGAGTACTGTGATATAAAGGACTCCTAGCCATCAAAAAGTAGAATACAGTGCAAAATTGGGGCTGCTTTGATGGTCTTTTCAAGAAACCCTCATGACCTGAGGGTGTCTGGGGAAAATATGTTCTTGAATTCCCCTGGGGCTTTTAACTGGCACAGATGTAGTGCATCACCATTAGGAGAAGAAGAAAGGGACCAGTAGTGGGTGAAAGCTCTGGTTTGCTCTCAACCTTTCAGAAATAGATGGAATGTACTTATTCCTTCAACACACACTGCCTGAACACCCACTGTGTACCAGGCCTTGTAGAAGGAAATTAGCTATGGTGGTGCACAAAGCAAAGATGGTCTTTGCCTTCGAGAAGCTCGTAGTCTATGGATGATGCAGATAGCAAAGAAGTAAAGAAATAAATAATTACAAATAAACATCGGTGTTTTGAAGGACATAAAGTAAGATGAAATGACTTTGTGCATTTTAATATACTATGCTACATTTTTCAAGTTTCCTTGTATAGATGTAACTCAAATATTTCTAAACCCTTTAATGCTAGGGAATAAAGTTTTCCTGATGCAACTTGCAAAGATGTATGAAAGCTATGAGAAATGCTTTTTTCTCTTGCTGTCACTTTCAATTTCCTGAAAAGCCAGTTGAGAGGGCTCTGTTGTTCCAAGAGGCCCAGCTGTGAGGTCCAGAGGGACACCTCTGTCTTGCACATGACTGAGTGAGCCCCATTCCAGTAGAGCTACAAGCCCTGAGTCTTTCCCCAGCCAGACTGCCCATCATCCCCCCTTTCCCTGTCCAATGTGGTTCGGTTCTGTCCCTTTATTCATCAGCTGATCTTTTCTCCCTAACCAGGAGGGGATGAGGATGACCTGGGAAAACCACACAGATCCAGCTTGTGTTCCTCACCAGAAGGAGCCACACAAACATAAAATCTGACCAAGAATGCTGATGCAATTTGTGTTTTTCTAGGCAATTGGACATGACACTGTTGGTTTCTTGAAACCATGCCTTGGGAATTACTTGCCATTTCTTCAAAATACAGGGAAGTTGAGGTGAAAGGAATCCACAGAGAAAAAAATAAATAAGGTTGACTGAAGGATTAGAGGGCAATTATATTAGTGAAGGTAATTTCTCCAAGGCTACTGCATGGGATTATCATATATAGTATTTTTAAAAACCAGAAAGCCTGGGGGAGCTGCAGGCCTGTCTTCAGCAAATTTCACTGGTCCTCTGTGTTTTATTTGAAAATTTTCCACTTTGGTAAAAAGACAGAACTGTGTGGCCAAACTTGGATATTTAGGTCTCAATCTCTGGTTAGCCCCAATTGCCGCACAGAATTTCTGGAACCCATTACTGGACAGAGGATGGGCAAGATTAATAGAGTGCTTCATGTCAGTCCTCTTACTTTCTTTGGCATTTCCCGGAAAAGCAATGAAAAGGAGGACAGATCATCTTCACATTGGTTCTGTCTCCTTTGCCAGCTGGTAATATTTATAATCCAGTAAGAGTTCAAAAGCAAATTTCTGTGTATACTGCATAACCACTGATGAATATCTTCAAAAAAGCAAGGACACACGGATAGATGTGTCTGAGGAAGCATCAAGTACTTTCTGAAGAAGAGGCCACTCTGTTTTTGGTGCTTTATGCTAGCCTTTTGAAGAGAAATGCAGTGGAATTTTCTCTCCGTTTTTTCTTTCTCCGTCCTCCGAGTCCCTGTCTTCCTCCTCCCCCCTCCTACACCTGTCCTTGGGTTTAGACCGCTTGTGCTTGAAGGGGATCTGAGAGTCCCCTGCTCTAGCACTTCCCACCAGTCCCGGAATCCTTCCAGAGGCCCCCATGTGTCTTCTCCGGAATGGAGAGTTAAGGCTCCAGCTCTATAGAAAAATAGTTTTATTCTCTCCTTACCTTCTGTTTTTCATGTTGGACAGTGGTGGTTAAAGAATTTTCTATTTCAAAGCCAACTATCTTCCTTCATCTATCAAATGTTAGCAGAGGATGGTAGTGGGTGGTTTGAATCAGTTGTTCCCTAAAGCCTTCTCGATCTCCTCCATTGCAGTGGTCTGTGGGTTGATGGTTTAATTCGCTAATGGACTTGGAAACAATTGCTTTAACCCCCTTCCTGCTTCTTGCTCCACTCTGTTTTATTTGTGAAACCTCTTTTAATAACAGAACTCCCTTTACCAATCTCTACTTTTCAGATTCACCTATGCTGCCCATTCCATCAGTATAACCAAATGAAGCCCCAGCACCCTGAATTCTCAGCGATGCCTTTTCCTCTAACACACTATTGTCCCATCTGCTCTTATCAGCGCAGTTACATACTTAGCGAAAGTCAGTTGCCTGTTTGCTGCTGAGTCTGTTTTACGCTAGTTGCATACATGTATCTGTACATGCTATAATTGTAACTATAGTTAGGTAGTTCAATTAAATATTATGTAACCAATCACCATGGGTGCGAAAAACAATTACTTTTCTGTGAAAATGCTTTGGGGATGACTTGATAAAGATGGGCCACAGAAACCAAAACAAAAGCAAAAAACCTGCAGTAGAATTTAGAATAGCTGAGGCAGTGGGGAAAACAAAATGGGGAAAACATACAGAAGTATCATATAGTCAATTGTTTCATAAATGTCTTTAAGCTCCAAAACTGAAATGAATGAGCCACAAATTACAAATAAAAGTTTTAGAAGAAACACAAGCATGGGATTCCAGTTAACAAACACAGATGCCAAGAAAAGCCTTGGCCAGATCTCAAAATATAGGTGAATGAATGTTTATTTAAATGCTTTAATTTAAGATACATGTGTATCATTTTTATTATTTAATGCTTTAAGTGATTTTCCAATTAATCACCTAACTCTTAGTGCCAGACATAAAAAAACATGTAATGAGAGTTCTATATTTAGGAAGTAGAGTGGTATGATAATGGTATGTGTTAGGGTAGCAAAAAATGGGCAGTTGGAGATGGAATTCTGTTTTACTATTCCATTCCAACATATGTGCATTAAATCTCTGCTCTGTGACAGGCAATCAACTTAAAAATAATCTTTATAACATTTTGGTTTGTACATACTTTAGGATGTCGTACCATATTATCATTAAGTCTACACCAGCTACAAAAATGGGTGTTAGAAATGAGTAATTAACCATCCTAAGTCACAGTAATTAGTGGAGGCAGAATTCAAACCCAGAGTATGTGCCATAAAATGCTGCTTTTGGTCCAATCCTTTAACATTTGTCAAATGCTCTCACTTATGCTATAGCCTCATGCACAGTCAAAAGTAAGCCCTAAAGTGCTCATTTTTCATTCAGACTCCAGAACCTAGAATTAGAAGATAACAAAAGTTAGGAAATCAACCAAAGCCCCCCATAGCCCAGATGACCTGATGCTGCCTTTTCTTTCTTTGTGCTAAGACTAGCTCTCATCCAGAGCTACTGAGATGGAAGTTTCTCAGATGATAAGAGATTTTACTGAATCACTCTACTGGTGTGTGCTTCTTCCTAAAGGATAAAAGAATATACTTCCTCCAGCAAGTTTATTTTTACATTATGCAATGCAGCCAATTCCATACTACTGGGCTTGCTCTCTGGTATGCAGAACCATGAGTGACCCAGTGGGTTTCCATTTATGGAAAATTCATTAAAAGGAGCCCACGCAAAGCTTGAAATAGCTCCTTGGTTTGGGAGTTCGTTTTGTGATCTCTCGTCATGATCTTTGCCACAGAGAACTATTTGAGGACTAGCCAGAGTTAGCTAAACTTCTGACCAATTTGGAAACCATGCCATTTTACAGTGCGTCTTAGCCAACAAAGGAAACATTTACATTATATATCATGGTGACATTCCTAAAGATGTCTTGTAGTATAAAGCTTATAAAATTAAACTAATTTTTATGAAGATTAGTGTATTTGATTTTCTATGGTCTTATAGTAGCTCCTTCCTTTTTCCTCCATTCCCTAAGTAATTCATTTATTCCTTCATTCAGAAAACACTTATTGAGACAATTACTATACCCTAGAAATACTGCTAAGCAATGGAATTGAATAAGTTAATGTTTTTCTTTCAGAGGAGCATTCATCTAAAGGCCCAGTATGATGCAAAATACTTATAAGTTCCTGCAAAACTATTGGAGGCAGAGAAGAGGAGAGAGAGGATCAAGAAAAGACTCAACAGAGAAACAGGTCAGAAATTATGAGGGGCTGCAGTTAGGCACTGGTAATGGAGGAAAGGAATGAATAGATATATGTTGGCTGATTGCATTGGGAGGGACTCCTAGAAAAATCAACTGTTGGGTATGTGGTGTTACCATTAATTACTGACAGCCGGAGGAGGAAGACAGTTATGGGAAGGACAATCAATTTAGTTTGAAACATATTGCATCTATGAGACTTAAGTGATGATGTCTCGTAGACATCAGACAACTACACATATATTGTAATTTAGGACAAATGCCACTAAAGATGCAATTTTTAGGATTATGAGCATATTAATACCTCTAGAAGCAGAGAGATAAGATAGCATTTCCCAGGGAACACTACAAGCAAAAAGGACGAAAAGTTAACTTTTGGAACTTATAAGCATTTGCAAAATGCAATGAAAATTAGAAGGTGAAAAAGTAGGGATATCACAGAACTTCAGGAAGACTGCTCAGAGGACAATTAATAGCAAGTTCTAAAAGGTGTAGACCTTGGCAATTAAATCAATGTTAATTAACAAAAGCACATGCAGATAGGCACCTACATTTAGAACATGCATACCAGAGTTCCAAACTCAGACAACTGCATTAGTAACTCCAGGTCACCATACGCAGTTACATACTTAGCGAAAGTCAGTTGCCTGTTTGCTGCTGAGTCTGTTTTACGCTAGTTGCATACATGTATCTGTACATGCTATAATTGTAACTATAGTTAGGTAGTTCAATTAAATATTATGTAACCAATCACCATGGGTGCGAAAAACAATTACTTTTCTGTGAAAATGCTTTGGGGATGACTTGATAAAGATGGGCCACAGAAACCAAAACAAAAGCAAAAAACCTGCAGTAGAATTTAGAATAGCTGAGGCAGTGGGGAAAACAAAATGGGGAAAACATACAGAAGTATCATATAGTCAATTATTTCATAAATGTCTTTAAGCTCCAAAACTGAAATGAATGAGCCACAAATTACAAATAAAAGTTTTAGAAGAAACACAAGCATGGGATTCCAGTTAACAAACACAGATGCCAAGAAAAGCCTTGGCCAGATCTCAAAATATAGGTGAATGAATGTTTATTTAAATGCTTTAATTTAAGATACATGTGTATCATTTTTATTATTTAATGCTTTAAGTGATTTTCCAATTAATCACCTAACTCTTAGTGCCAGACATAAAAAAACATGTAATGAGAGTTCTATATTTAGGAAGTAGAGTGGTATGATAATGGTATGTGTTAGGGTAGCAAAAAATGGGCAGTTGGAGATGGAATTCTGTTTTACTATTCCATTCCAACATATGTGCATTAAATCTCTGCTCTGTGACAGGCAATCAACTTAAAAATAATCTTTATAACATTTTGGTTTGTACATACTTTAGGATGTCGTACCATATTATCATTAAGTCTACACCAGCTACAAAAATGGGTGTTAGAAATGAGTAATTAACCATCCTAAGTCACAGTAATTAGTGGAGGCAGAATTCAAACCCAGAGTATGTGCCATAAAATGCTGCTTTTGGTCCAATCCTTTAACATTTGTCAAATGCTCTCACTTATGCTATAGCCTCATGCACAGTCAAAAGTAAGCCCTAAAGTGCTCATTTTTCATTCAGACTCCAGAACCTAGAATTAGAAGATAACAAAAGTTAGGAAATCAACCAAAGCCCCCCATAGCCCAGATGACCTGATGCTGCCTTTTCTTTCTTTGTGCTAAGACTAGCTCTCATCCAGAGCTACTGAGATGGAAGTTTCTCAGATGATAAGAGATTTTACTGAATCACTCTACTGGTGTGTGCTTCTTCCTAAAGGATAAAAGAATATACTTCCTCCAGCAAGTTTATTTTTACATTATGCAATGCAGCCAATTCCATACTACTGGGCTTGCTCTCTGGTATGCAGAACCATGAGTGACCCAGTGGGTTTCCATTTATGGAAAATTCATTAAAAGGAGCCCACGCAAAGCTTGAAATAGCTCCTTGGTTTGGGAGTTCGTTTTGTGATCTCTCGTCATGATCTTTGCCACAGAGAACTATTTGAGGACTAGCCAGAGTTAGCTAAACTTCTGACCAATTTGGAAACCATGCCATTTTACAGTGCGTCTTAGCCAACAAAGGAAACATTTACATTATATATCATGGTGACATTCCTAAAGATGTCTTGTAGTATAAAGCTTATAAAATTAAACTAATTTTTATGAAGATTAGTGTATTTGATTTTCTATGGTCTTATAGTAGCTCCTTCCTTTTTCCTCCATTCCCTAAGTAATTCATTTATTCCTTCATTCAGAAAACACTTATTGAGACAATTACTATACCCTAGAAATACTGCTAAGCAATGGAATTGAATAAGTTAATGTTTTTCTTTCAGAGGAGCATTCATCTAAAGGCCCAGTATGATGCAAAATACTTATAAGTTCCTGCAAAACTATTGGAGGCAGAGAAGAGGAGAGAGAGGATCAAGAAAAGACTCAACAGAGAAACAGGTCAGAAATTATGAGGGGCTGCAGTTAGGCACTGGTAATGGAGGAAAGGAATGAATAGATATATGTTGGCTGATTGCATTGGGAGGGACTCCTAGAAAAATCAACTGTTGGGTATGTGGTGTTACCATTAATTACTGACAGCCGGAGGAGGAAGACAGTTATGGGAAGGACAATCAATTTAGTTTGAAACATATTGCATCTATGAGACTTAAGTGATGATGTCTCGTAGACATCAGACAACTACACATATATTGTAATTTAGGACAAATGCCACTAAAGATGCAATTTTTAGGATTATGAGCATATTAATACCTCTAGAAGCAGAGAGATAAGATAGCATTTCCCAGGGAACACTACAAGCAAAAAGGACGAAAAGTTAACTTTTGGAACTTATAAGCATTTGCAAAATGCAATGAAAATTAGAAGGTGAAAAAGTAGGGATATCACAGAACTTCAGGAAGACTGCTCAGAGGACAATTAATAGCAAGTTCTAAAAGGTGTAGACCTTGGCAATTAAATCAATGTTAATTAACAAAAGCACATGCAGATAGGCACCTACATTTAGAACATGCATACCAGAGTTCCAAACTCAGACAACTGCATTAGTAACTCCAGGTCACCATCTTACCTCTAAAATAAGAATAATCCTTATTTGACCTACCCCTGTACAATTGTTATATTTCAAATAAATAAAGAGACACAAATAAACTTGGTGAAGAATAAGGTTCCAGACAAAATATGAGGCATGATTACATATGTTAATTACAAAGGACATAGGAAATGGGAGACATTTTGAATCAGATTCATTTCTGGAGACATTTCGAAGTTTCCTGCTCAAGAGAAAGTAACAAACCTAAAATGTGCCATGAGTTGATTATCTACCCCATTTTTAATTGTCGCCAGAAAAAGTGTCTCTGACTTGTTTTAAAAATCAGTTTCAGTATCTTCCCAACAGGTATGATTTTCTTGGTTTAGGTCAGGTGTCGCGAGGCAATTCCATGGGTTCACATAGAGGGCCCAGAGAGAAAAGCCTTTGTTTCCATATTCCTTAAATGCTTAGCATGGTGTCTTACTCATAGCAAGTATTCAATTTATCTAATTTAGTTTTATTCAATAGATATATTGATATCTGCTATGTGTAATTAGGATCACTGGTGATAATATAGATGTAGATAAATATCCACTATATAAAGGATACATTTGCAAGGGTGGGAATGAAATCTGCAATTTTCTCTTGTGTAAAATGACAGTAATGACAGAATTTGCCTAAAGGAACATTTTTTGAAAGCATCTTTCATCTTGCATGGCATATTGCATGTACTGTGCCGTTTGTATTTAGCTTCCATTTTAAAGACAAATGAGTGAAGAAAGCAAGTAGTCCATTTGAGGGGTTTACCTTCTGCTGCCAGTTCCCCACCTCAGAGTCTACCACTGCTTAATAATTTTCACAATAGCCAGGTGTTTGGCTGAGGATTATGTCTCTAGGTAAGGGAATAAGAGCAAATGAATCAAATCTGTTCATCTATACAGAACTGATTTGCTGCCAACAGCTTTTGCTAGGCAAACGGGGAAGGAAACGCAAGCAATTATGATTTATTAAATGACTCACTGGGCCAAATTCTACACTATTGTGCTTCCCTTGGGGCTGAAGAATTGTCTCCAGATAAAATTGAACTCTAAATGCATTTTTGTAGTTGTTCCCTTCAGAAGTTCCCTTCAGTCATTTGAAGGGTTTTACGTTAATGAGTGGTATCTTATTTATGTTTGGAATCACCCAGAACTGTCAGGATAGATTTGCTGGATATTTTTGATGCTTCAGAGGAGTTTTATAGGCAATGAACAGTTGATAGATTCACAAATAAAGGGGAAATAAATCTCTGAGAAAACAGAACTTGTAATACGAGTAAACACTTAAAACTTCCTAAGAAGGATATGTGAAATCTAACATATTTTGGCTCCCAAGTCTTAGTATTTCTGTTCACCACCAGATTTGAGAAAGAACATCAGTTGTGAAAGCCTCTACTCAACAGTACGGCTGATTATAATTTAGGGCTCAGAATTGGCAATACCTTTTAGTATGTTGATATTTTTGAACATCAATTTTTAAATTCCATTTTATTTCTACAATGCTTTTCTTTGAAGATGATACATTGTTCACATCATTTCATTAATCCCTTTTGGTTGCTAATGATCTGGGTTGAGGCTCAATCAATGTATGGTTAAGGGCAGC